ATATCAGTGAAAGTATACCTCTACTCAATTTCAATATAGTAAATATACTCATAAATCAAAATGTATAACGACATTTTGAAATTCCCAATAATTTTCTAAGAACATTGTGAAAAAAAAATCGAAAAACGGTAATTTTCACGCAAAATCAAATATTGAAAAAATTGATTTTAAATATTGGCCTAACTCTAAAACAAATTACTGTAAACACATGYAATTTTCACTGAATGTCAATACATGCATTTTCTATACTTGATAAGATTTTCAAAATATTTCAAATCTTTTTGAATTATRTATAGGTAGACCCAATGAGGCAATGAATAACATTTTATTGACATATTTATAGAATAAAAAATTTAAAAAACGGAAAATTTAAAATTTCTTTAAAATATTTTGAAAATTTCATATATCTACGGTAATTTATTTTAGAGTTACGTCAATAATATCTGAAATCGATTTTCTCTTTAAAACTACTGGGAATTRTACCCCATTGTGATGACGAACTGATTGTTTTTAAAAATTTGATTAACTTATAAAAAAAAATAAATGTTATAATTCTTTAAAGTTATGAACAATGATCGACATAAAGTATTATGTTGAACAATTATAGTATTATTAGAACTTCTCAACATAATTTTTGTGCTTTAGTCGACGAGAAAACATTAATTCTGAAACATGTGAAGAATTATATTTTTTTATTTTTTAGTTAGTTTAAATCTTAGCAACTTTATTTGTGAAGGTTAGGTACAAATGTTGTATATAATTTTACGTTTGCGAAAGTGATTTCATAGTTTTTTTTTTTTACCTAGCTATAAAATATTAAAATGTTCTACGGAACAAATCATAAAAAGAACTGACGGTAACATGAACGATATTATAATATATTCGATTTACCTAATAAGGTTTGTACCTATAAAGACATTAATTTCGTTTGTAAAGAATTCGTATTGCTACAAAATAAAAAAGCAGGTAAGTCGTGGATGTCGCTCAGCTGTACAGTAGGTTACTGTAATGGATGGGATTAAATTTGAATGCAATGATAGGTATCATTGTATACGAAAAAC